TAGTTCAGCTGGCGGCCATGATGGAATAACAGTAAAGAATCTGCTGGGACACTGGTTGCCACGGTGACTCCCTCCTTTACTGAGGGGAAGAGGAATGAGGCGGAGCTTACTGCCCCTATACTCAACAGGCAGAAATACAGAACAAAATGTAAGCCTCAGACACACCGTCTCTGTGTGAAAACTAGAAGTCAGATCAAAGAAGTTCTTTATCCGTGAGCAGCAGAACGTTATGATGGTACCACAGGTTCTGTTTGATGGTTCTACAGGGTTTTATAGGAGATATGACAAATTAAAACAGATTCTTCACTTCCTTTTGAAGATAAATCTCTGAGCTCAGATACAGTGAAAGTCACTGGGAGTTTGGGTGCATGACCTCTGACCTCAGAGGACACCATCAGTCCTCCAGCAAAGACACTCTGGGTGGACAGAGACAGAAAGACCAAGAACTGGACAGAGAAACTGGAGAGCAATAAAGAAGAGTTTGTTTATAAAATGTTACATCATCAGAGTCCTGTAGACCTGAACCATCCGAGGTCAAATCCTCCAACTTTAACCTGCGATTGTGTAAAAACCGTTAAGGCCCTGAACGCAGCAGTCCGCTTGTGTAAAGTCCAACTTCCTGCGACCCGTTTAACTTTGATGTTTCTGCTCTGAGCTCCGTTCCCCTCACGGTGCGGGTGTTTCTGTTCCTCTTCCTGTCCGAAGCTAAAACAAGAAACGACGTATATTGTTCACGTTCCTCCATACATGACGGACCCTTCCTCTCAGCCCCCCCCCCCCCCACACACACACACACACACACAAGACCGGACACGCCGGCCTCCCCATCAGCCAATCAGAGCCTGCGATGAGGACGCCTTCAGTCAAATCAGAAGTTATTTATAAACCATCTGATCTCTGAGTCAGGACCTGACGGTCTGTCCCCATGTTTGTTTATTTATTTATTATTTTTATGTGTTTTCTCGTTTATTTTATCGTTTTTAACTGATTCATTCTTTCAGTTTGTGCTCCCTCCCCCTACAGAGCTCATCACATTACAGAGTTCAGCTCCTCCAACATGTCCCTGAACGCATCGTCCCCTCTTCCTTCAGTATATGTCAGCTCTGCAGTGGAGAACCTCTTCACTTTCCCTGTGAAACCTCATCAGAACCGGCCCGTTCTGCTGCTGCTGCAACACTCAGAGCCTGTTGGACGGGACTGTGGTTCCGGCTGGAAGTTTGGGCCCGCGGCGCTCTGTGAGCAGCTTTTGTCCGAGCAGCAGAGCGACGTGGTGATGTCACTCTGCAGGAATGTAAACCCTGAAGCTTCCATCGTCTGAAGCTGAAGCCAGAATCCTGCAGGTTCTGAAGGTTCTGAGCTCAGAACCTTCAGAACCAAACAGGAACAGAGCCTGGAGGCTGTGGAACGTACAGGTTCTAACGAAGGTTCTGTTTTAAGAACCCAGATCCTCCCACAGGTTCCTCCCTTGTTTTAAGACGTTTTTAGAACATCTGATTTGTCCCCAGCTGTGGGAACTGGACCTAAACATGCTCATGAGCGGCACCAAATCAGAACCGATGACTGGACCTGGGGCCTGCAGTGATGAGGATGTTGTTCCGGTCTGTGGAGCTGATGATGGAAGTTTTTTCAGGCTTCCTGAAGTCCAGAGAAACAAGCTGCTGATCCACATCGACTGGATCCAGTTCAGGTGGTTCTGAACCAAACTCACTGGAACAGCAGAACTCTGCTGATTCAGAACACACCGGGTTCTCCAGGAGGAGGTCTGGGAGGACAGATCTGTTTAACAGAACTACCTATTAGTTACGCTTTTATTTTGGAGAGATTTTCCCCAACATCCTGTTTTATTGTTTATATTTTTATGAAACAAACAAATGACACTCGACCTGCAGGAAACAGAACCGGACCGTTTCATGCAGAGCCCATCTGAGCAGCACCCTTCAGTCATGTGACCTCACAGACTCAGTAACGGGCCAAACACAGACCAGCTCCAGCAGAACTCCGAACACAAACTGGGTCCATAGAGGACTCGGGTCGTTGTGGTTCCAGAACCACGGGCCGCTTCCTGTCTCACACAGCAGAGGGCGTGGAGATGCTCTGAGTGACGGCGTCGGGTCAGTCTCTGGTCAGCAGACGTCTCGAAGGACGACCCGATCCAGAACAGCTTCAAAACAGAGGAGGAGGTCAGGGTTCTCAGGAAGAACACAAGAACCAACAAACGGGTCGACAACAGGAGACAACAACGTCTGGAACCAGCAGCAGGACAAAAGGTTCTACTGCTGAAGGTTTGAATAACCTAATAATAATAATGAGACTTCTGGAACATCCTCCCAGCTCCACCCGTCTCACTCTCGTGCGCATCGGTGAATTCTGCGTTTCATTCTACTCCCAACCACCAGCTGCTCCCTACCCTCACTACAGATGGTTCCATGCCTGTCACCTCCTGCTGTCACCTCTTTTCTCCTTCTTTTGGAGGTTCACCTGCACCTACATCTGGACCTGCCATTCTGTGTTCGTCTGTCTCTCCTGTCCTCTCAAACCAGCCGGTTGAAGCAGATGGCCGCTTGTCCTGATCCTGGTTCTGCTGGAGGTTTCTTCCTGTTCAAAGGGAGATTTTTATTTCCACTGTTGCCATTGTGCTTGCTCAGGATGGGAGACAGCGATGAAGTGAAGATTCAACATGTCTGCTGCTTCCTTAGATAGAGAACTTTACTAATTGTCTTTTCTATGTCTGTGAATGTTCCTGTTCAGAGCCCTGAGACAACTTCGCTGTGACTTGGTGTGATATAAATTAACTGAATTGAATTTTTTTCAGTTCCTTCTCGTCTCTTTTCTCCTCTGAGCTCCTCTCAGATGTTGGTTTGGTTTTTGTTGTTGTTGTTTGTGTTTTCTATATTTGTCTCTCTGAAACACAAACACAATCAACATCTCCTCGTTCTGGTCTGAGGATCAACCAAACCTTCTGATGTGGATCAGGACTGAGCGCGGACAGAGGGTCCCCTCAGACATTCAGACTCAGAACCAGATCTTTGTAGCCTCTTTGCCATCAGTGAGTGTGGTTCCACTCGGCTCTCTTCTCGGTTCTTCTCAGGTGGAGGTGATCTGTCTCTGTGACCTGTTTCCCCGCTCAGTGGGCGGGATCATCAGTGCAAAGTGGGCGGGATCATAACTGATCATTGTGTTCAGGCCACTCCTCTTGTTGTGGTCCTTAATTGTTCTATAATCGGACTTGAACTTCTTCATCTTCTCCCGGCACTGCTCATGAGTCCGGGTGCAGCCATGCTGCTCCATCATCTCTGATGTCTGTAAATGAGATCATTTCTTGTGGGGCCGTCCATCAACAGGAAGAGGAAGTGAAGGTTCTGTTGTAGTTTGTGGGTCATCCAGTGACGAAGCTCCACTGGACAATCAACGGCTGTTCTCTGCTTACGTCAAGATCGGACCCTCGGATCAGCCCGCTTGGAACCACAAACAAGGCGGTCCCATAAACTGGGCTGAGCGGGGTGGTACCGACAGTGGGCGGGCCCTAAACTGGTGTAGTGTGGGGCGGAGCCGATGAGAGTTGAGACGGTGGTAAAGCGACATATGTGACCCCTCAGAGGGAAAACAGGTCGGCTCGTTTAAATATTTAGAACCTCAGAAGAATTTCACACATCGCCTACAAGTTTCAACAAACACACACACACACACACACACAGAGGAGAGAGAGAGAGAACAGAACAAGACTCTGTTTCTGCCTGAACCAACGGAACCGTGTTTCTGATCTGCAGAGTTTGACCAAAACACTGAGAACACGCAGAACCTTCAAACGGAACCTTCAAACAGAACCTTCCAACAGAACCTTCCAACAGAACAGAACCTTCAAACTGAACATTCAAACAGAATGCAGTTCTGGACTTTAGTCCAACTGATGGAGGTGAGGAACAATGATGCATTCAGGGACTTTTTTACAGTCGGAAACTAAATATTCTGCAAGAAACATGTTAAAATGTGACTGGAACCAGAACCATGACTCCCTGTAAGATTGACTGTGTGTAAGATGCTGTTCTGACAACAGAACCAGTGGGACGGGTCAGAAACACCCAGAAAAAGTTCTGCAACAGTTGCACAGATCCTGATCCAGATGGGTTTAAATCTGAGAAGAAACCCTCAGAGACCTGAGGAGGTCTGGACCCGGTCTGTCCGGAACTGAGCTGTAGGACTAGTTAAGGTTAGTAAAAAGACCTGGGTCAGGTTAATAAAAAGACCCAAGTCAGTTTAGTAACCGGGTCAGGTTACTAAAAAAAAACCAGGTCAGTTTAGTAAAAAACTGGACCAGGTTAGTAAAAAGACCTGGGTCAGTAAGAAGACCTGGGTCAGATTAGTAAAAAGACCAAGATCAGGTTAGTTAAAGACCTGGGTCAGGTTAAGACCCAGGTCAGTTTAGTAAAAAGACCCGGGTCAAGAACAGTAAAAGTTTTCAAACATTTCGTTTGTTCAGTTTTCAGCTCAAAGTTTGGACGATCCGTTGAACCGTTTTTTTATAAGAACTTGTTCTGATGCGACATCATGGGTCACTTCCTCTGATTTAAGGTGTCCTCTGGTTGTTTTTGGACCCGCTGTGGTCCCTGGACATCAGAACCAGAGAAGGGGCCGCTCCATTAAACAGGCCTGGTTCTGACCTCAGACGTTTGTGTCAGAAAATTTCCTCTTCGTATCAGATTCGTGCTGCTGTTCGGCGTATTGTTTTTATTGTTTTTATGCTACTAGTGCTTAATGTATTTTTAGTTGATGCTTTTCTTAGTTCATATCTTAGATCTTATCACTCTTTTTCTTTTACATTTTATTGTTGGATGTAACTGGGACCCTGTGTACATAATCTTGTTCCACCACAGTGGTGAATCCTTGAAACCTTGAATTTGAGCCTTTTGGTCTCGTTAGAATGGTTTTAACTCATCAGTGACTTGGACCTGACCGCAGGAGGAATAAGAACCAGAACCTGTCTGAGATGGACTAGAACTTACTGTTCCTGCTGGTCTTAAGCTTGGACAGCAGCTTCTGGGTGGACTGCAGGTCTCCGCTCTTCACCGCCTGCAGCAGTTCCTGCTCCTTCCCCATCCTCCTCCTCCCTGAATCGGACCGGATTCACTGACAATACTCCTCCTCCTCCTCAAATCTTCATCCTGAGCGACAGGACCCGGCCTCAGTTCAGACTCTTCCTCTGACAGGTTCCTCCTCTTCCTCAATGAGGGGAAGATACTCCCAGGATGAGCTGCAGGTCTGAGGAGGAGGAGGTGACGAGAGTCTGAGAGGGGAGAAAAAAAACAAGATCAGAAAAGTTTAACCTTGAAGGAGAACCATCCAACCATCCATCCATCCAATCAACCAACTAACCATCCATCCATCCA